ATAGGTGATCAGTCTATCGATCGGCAGCCGCTAGTCAGATAACTTCAGAGGCACTCTGCAGCGTGCTCAAAGCTCTTCGACTTGGGCGGAAGTCGCGCGGAATTTTAAACGGCCAGCGAGCCAATTACTAGCCGCCGCGTATGAATAATTTAGCACTGGCCAATAGCGGGGCACAAATTTACATTCGAATGGCGGGAACTCTTTGCACCGTGCATTTCTGTGCTGCAAAGAAGAAATGCATCCTGCAAAGGAAACTGCAAATTGGCGGGAACTCTCTCCTGCACGCGGGTTCTCAATTGCAGCAGAACACTCTGCCGTGCAAAGGAGCTCTCACGTGGCCAGGAAATTCCATAGTGCCGAGGCACAAAAATCACTGGGTTGTGACAGCTTTTTCATTCCATTCATTCCGTATGTAGGTTAAGTGACACCAACATAGGACTTGATTTTACAGTTGAATCCCAGAGATCTCTATCACTGTAACTCTTCATAGATACAGGCACACGGTCTAGGAGACTTGCTGCTTTCACCTAGAACACTGCATCAAGCCAAGTGTTGTTTTGCATCTTCATGGAATAAAAATACTGCCTGCTTGCTTGATTCTTATCTTGCTGAAGGATGTGGGACAGAGATGCTTGAACGTGGTGAATGCATTGAACGTGGTGAATGCATTACAAAGGTTGGGGTGGGAACTTGTCATCAGCTGATGGCTTCTAATCTATACTCAATATCTTGGTGATCACAGTAAATTAAATAAGTCTTTAAAATCCTGCGGTATTATCAGATGCTTAACCTTTGGGATACAAACTCATTGAGATGCGTATCCAAAAATTTTGAAAAGGGAGTGTCAAAACAGATGGAAAGGGATTCACTGATACGCTAAGCGAAGAAAGGTGTTGCTTAGGTGTTGAAATAAAGCATGTTCTTACTGTTTACACCACTACTGGAAGATGTCAGCAGAGAATTTTTCTTTTCTAAGAAAGTGATCTTGCAATTGTGGCAACAGCTTCATCTAGACACAATGTTTACGGACCTAAGTATAGGGCCTAAAATGACTTGCTTTATGACTATTGGATTTTGATTTGAAGCAAGTAAGAATAAATCCTACTTAAGAATGATTCATATCTGGAAGATGCAAGAAAAGAGCTATTTTGAGCAAGGTAGGAGACCAATTAATTTTCACTATGGGGGACTGAGGTGTACAAATACTTGCATTGTAGACCGAAACTCAACCAAGATAAGGGTGGACTCCGAAGTTGGCACAGTTAGAGGGATGAGGCAGTGCAGAAATTCCTGATGCTTTTGTTTAGCCGTGGAGAAGCAGCACGAGCAAGTTTCTTACTGGTGGGTTAGTATTTTATCAGAGAGAGAATGACTGCAGTTTTGGCCCTGATTATTTGAAAATGGTTCTGAACTGGAGAAAGAAATCAGAAATTCCTTGCAAGATGGTGCCTTTTAGGAACCTGAAGGGACGCCTGTTTCTAGCTTGCTGTAAATAGCAGATCTGTGAAATTTTGCTGCAAGCTCCTTGGAAGAAGCCAAGAGATGCATGTCAGAAAACGCTGCCTCTTTAACAACTCAATGTTCAACATGAACACGTGCTTTTTTTGTATCGTGTGCGCTATGATCCGAGATCTGTAATCTTGACAATGACCTCATTATGGTGCTGTCTGAGGATCACAGATGTTG